GCAGCTGTAGTACAGACCAGAATATCTTCTGTGGTCAACTGTAAATAGCAACTCTGTATCCATGGTTTATTTTTACCATAGTGTGCTATTATAGGAAAAATAGCAAATGGTAAGTCTATATATAGCCTGTTACCAAGACTGTGAGCTAAATGATTAGTCAACAGTAAAAGCCTATCCTAATCAACAAATGGCTTTAGGTCCAGTAATAATATTTTGGATATCAAAATAATGTATACTAGGTAGGAGAGGAATTGCAGCCATAAAAAATGGGTTTTTTATGGCTCTTTTTAATGTTAAGTAGGAATTTTGTGAATCATGCTGACTTTAACAGACTGGATACAGACAGCAGACTCTATATTGCTTTACTTATATTGCCTGACTTTTTATTTTCTGCCTCTTTCTTTTGTTGGACCAGCAAAAATTAATTTTCCTTTTAGTGACATTAATTAACCATTAAATTGTGAATAGTTCAGGAAAGGAGATCCCCCCCCGCCTTGTTCTTACTTAAAAATTACTTTAGAAAAGTATAAATTTTATTCCAGACTTGAAAATATGATGCTCTTTTATATTTTATGTATAAATATTTTATGACTGACAAGGTTAGAAAAGTATATAACAAACTCTTAGATAAGTCTTCAAGGTTGCTTCACATTAGACATGATAGGTAGGAAGAAAATACAGGCAGAAGTCAGTTTTCCTTATCTTTTGTATAAACAAGCTGGTATTTCATTCAAGGCCTTTTCCTTAACTTTTGGCATACCAGATCACTATCAGGCAGTCACAGGGAGAGAGATGCAAATGTGTTGTTGACTATTTATCTACTGAATTTATGAATTGGATTCCACAGAAAGCAGGCTCCTGCATTCATTCCATCTTTGTGTTTGCCTGCCATCCTCTGCCTTTCTCCCCCTCACAATCATTTGGGACTTACCTTACTAGTCTTAAACATGTTTCATGAAAAGTTGGAGTAATTACAGTAAATTCCTATTTTTACAAAACTCAAGGGTAAAGGAGAAAGAATGCCCTGCTTGTGGGGCAGTTAACTACAGGGCAAAGGAAAAATAAGGGAAAATCTATCCTTACATAGGTTTGGGACCACAATGTGGACTGGCCTGCAGCCTTCTCCTGTGAGCCAAACACCTTTTCCTGTGAGCTAATCTGCAGGTGTAATGGAGACAGAGCCCCCTTGGAACTCCCTGGGGAAATGCCAGAGTGGGCCCAGGCATGGTGAGACACCAGGGATGGGGAGGGTTTAAGGGAGATCGAGCTGGGAGTGTGCTCGGGGGGTCTGTATGGTGGATTTTGTTGGTTTTGGTGTGCCAAGCAGGTGACTGGAACTACTGTGGGATGATAATTCCACATCAAGGGAGAGAGCACAGAGGACCCTGTCTGTGTGAAAGAAATGGGAGCTACAATGGTGAAAGGGTAGAAAGCACATGAGAAAAAGAGCTGGCTTGTGAAAAGCACCACAGACATGATGGAGGACTAGGGGCATTTTCTTTGGGGAGTGTTCATGACAAGTATCTCTTGGAAAACACACACTATTTATCAGTTCTGCTGCTTTACAGTAGCATCATGCATTCATTACAATGAACTTTGTTTAAATGAGCCTGATCGAATACCTTCTGAAGTAAATGTGCTTTTATTTGCTATCAAAGGAATGAGATAAGGTCCCTGCTATAACATAGGTAATATATTTGCATGATGTTTATGAATGACTTTGAAGTATATATTTGTAATTTAAATCCCAACATTAGTAATATCTGTTAGAAACGCAGACATGAGCTTCTGAAGTAACTTTTATTCTTCTTAGTTTTATTACAAACTACATACAACTGAGACAGGACTGATATCTTAGGACTTTTTTTGTTCACATTTTTAGGGGCTTGAGAACTTCCTCTGTGTGTGTTTATAAGCACCTAATAGTTGTCCATGCCATCATGATTCCTGATTTCATTTCAGTATAAGTAATTATAATATATATTATTTTATCTGTTTACAAAACTGTATTATAATATAAAATAATTATAGTACTCAAAAACTAAGTATGGTCTTCATCCATTCTTTGGTCTAAGGAATTGTATTTGATGTTGATTCCAGTTCTGCAGAGAAGGGAGTCCTAATTCAGGCAGATAAATTTGTAAAATGGATAAAATACTTCAGAAGAAAAAGAGTAATTCAGTTAGTTTCCTCCTACATTTTTTAGAATTGGGCTACATTAAGCCTTTTCTTACTCAGCTGCCTTCTAGTGTTAGACCTGTTGTTGGAAGAAATCATGGGAATACTCATATAGAGTGTCTGCAACTTCCTCATCTCCATCTTGTCTAGACACCAGCAATCTCATAGTATATTCATGCCTCCAGAACATCTAGACTTCTCTTAAGTGGGAACTCTGAATGAGGTAGGAGAACAGAGGGAATCTGTTTTCCCTTTCAAAGTTCCTTCTTTGCCAGTGGCTAGGTGCAGTATTGTAATGAATACCAAATCAGTGTTGTATTTCACAGCATGGTTCTCAAATTCATATCACAGGGGAAAGGTGACAGAGTGTTATTTATTCCAATGTCATTGGCAAAAAATACTACTAAAAATTATAAAAGATGAATAAAGTGGTCTTGAAAAAATACTGTGGTATATGTATTATCCCACTGATGTTTTATTTTCAGTTTAAATGTACTTAGAAAGCTTTCTGGCAATTGCACAAGATACAACTTAAATTTCTGTGAGAGAGGCATGGAATTAGTCCATACTTTTTTTGGCACTGTCTGCCCCACTATATAATAAAGCCAAGCTACCTAACTTCTCCTCTTTCAGACATCTTGAGTTTTTTACACCCTTTTCTTTCTTCAGTGGCATAGATGGAGGACAGTCCTGCTCCATCTTCCTCAGTTACTGAGGAGTCAGGGTATTTTTTGAAGTGGGGATTGTGGTATTAAATAGTTTCAAATGAAACAAGAAAATTTCTAAATGTGCTATTTTTGCTTGGAAAAATTTTCTTTTGTTCTTGTCAACTGTTGTTTAAGGGAAAGGTGTAAGTGGCAGATTAGACTGTTTAACCTAAGTTCTTCCAGAAAATGAAATATATGTGTGAAGGGAGAGAGGGAGAACTTCTTGGCTCTGTTTCTTTGTATTGCTGTTACAAACATAATATAGTACCTGTATTTTATTTCTAAGAATACTTTTCTTTGCTTTAATATGTAGTCTGTGGCACCTTTGGCTTGAGATGTGGGAGCAAAACCTGCCTCCTCTGAAATAACCTGCACAAAATACTGCCTCAAATATTTGTGTTAAAGGATGTGGAGACAACCTCTGCATTCCAGGAGTATTAAAGCCAAATAGGGATGTCAGACTTCCCTTCATTAGGTGAAATTGGTGAACTGTAAATAATAATTGGTCAGTGGCTATAGTCAAATACCCTGCAGAACAAAGCTGGACACCGGCCATGTGGCATTTGCTATCTGCCTGACCTCAGCTGTCCTTGAACTGAAAAATGAGACATCTTGTGGGATTCCTTCTCACCACTTTCTGAGGCACTCATACCATACTCCATCTCAGGCATCTACTGGCTCCTTTTCCTGAGTGTTTTTTTTTTTTTTTGGCATATCCTACAAGCTGCTGTTTATGCTATGGACACATCTGGCAGCACTGCTGGTGAGCCACTGTGGCTTGTGGGATGATGCTTGGAAGAGCTCTGCATTAATCTGTTGTGCAAAGGAAGATGTTCTATTGCAGTTTTTCCATGACTCAGAAAAACAAAGAAACCTAAAAGGTCATATGGTGGTGTGTGATTTGTTTTGTGGGTTCATTCAATATTGCCATTGTGCATTTGGCCCGACTGCAGTGAGTCAACTGGGTTGGATTGACTCAGACAAAGTAGAGAACTTGCACAACAGTAGGACTTCAGTCATTCTGTCATTCAGTCATTCCCTTGCTAATGCATATCAAAGAGGCAAAATTACGTATGGAGTGCAGGTTTTTCTATGAAGTGGGAGTGTAATACTTGCACATCTAAAATCAGTTTGAAGTGGAATGTGGGCATCTCAGTGTTTATACGGAACTTGCCTAGGTGTTTTACTACCGTGAACTTCCATTAGTTAGGCAAATAAACCTACTGTCACAAAAGGATATAGAAATTGGCTTGAGCATTTTAGCTGCTCTTGTATTGACTTGGCTGGATCTACTTGGATCCATCAGATTTAAGCACATAAACAGCAGAAAGTCTAAGTTGTAAGGTGATGAAATTGCAGCTGTCACACGGTGCTCTGGAGCCTGAGACCTGCTACTTGAATAATTACGTGACAGCTTCCCCAGCTTCGCAGGGTAACTTGTGTGCTTTGGCACCACGCACCCAAGAGCCGGCACTTTTCCCCTCAGCAGCTTTCCCGTGTCCCGAGGGCCTGCGGGGCGCAGCTCGGCCGTCCTGCCGTGACTGACCCCAGGCTTTCCCTCAGCCCTGCTCTGCAGCCGGCTGCCCACACGCCCTTGGCCTTCTGAGGAGGGGCCGGGCGCCGCTGCCTCGCCGGGCGCGCACACGCGGGTGAAAGGCTCGCCCGCCCGGCAGCGCTGCCCCGAGGCCACGGGGTGGCCGCGGGGGAAGAGCCGCCCTAAGGCGGCGGTGCTGCCCCGGGCTACCCTCGCCCGGCGGCGCAGCGCCCACAGCCGGGGGACGAGGCGCGGGGGCGGAACGGCGCCGCGGGGGTGCCGGTTCGCACGGCCCGGCTCGCAAGGACGCCCCGCGGGCGGGGCGGGTTCCGCGGGCGGACTACAACTCCCGGCGTGCCCCGCGGGCCGTGGCCACGCGGGGCACGCCGGGAGCTCGGCAGCACCGCGGCCTCCATGATCTTCCCCTGCCGCCGGCGCGGCAGCGCCCGCCTGTCTCGCGGTGGGCGGGGCTTTCTTGCAGCCGCCGCTCTGAGCGGCATCCACACCACCTTATCAGCGCCGGCCTTACCACGGCTGTGGCCAATCAGCGGCGCGGAGGGGCGGGCCCACGCCGCAGCCGGAGGTAGCGGTAGTGGCGGCAGCCGGAGCGCGGCCGTGGGGAGCGTGGGCCCCGCGCTGAGGGGCGGTGCGGTCGCTCCGGAGCTGTGCGGGTTCGGCGGGGCCCGGGAGCTCGGTCACCGGCCCCGGCGGGCCGCGGCGGCGACGGCATGGAGCAGACAGCGCCCAAGAGGTAAGGACCCTTCGCGGCGGCCCCTTCCCCGCCCGGGAGCGGTGGCACGGCCAGGGTGAGGCCTCGGTGCCGGAGTGTGTGAAGGGGCGGTGGGACAGGGACGGTGCTGGGCCTTGCTTAGCGGCCGGAGGGCTCTGTCATGTGGGGAAGAGTCTTCTGTAAGGTGGGTGCCCCGAAATACACCCGCCAGTAAATGCCCCGGCGGAGGCGAACCCTTGGGGGCCGCTTGAGTTCACAACAATTTTAACATGAAGTGAGGGAAACTTGGTCGCCGAGCAGAGTCCTCTGCCCTGAGGGTCTCTCACTCGATGGTTCAGCTCTGTGGCAGGAGCACACGCGAGTCGTTCTCTTTTCACGCTGGGAAGCGTCCTTGTGCTCTGCTGCTGGAGGGATGGATGCTTGAGGGGGTGGGCGTTGCATAGTTGCAATTGCAAATCAGGGAGTGGGAAGAGGCAAAACCCAGGAATATTCCCACAGTAGATGTATTTTCTCGAATATATAGGCTATCAGGTTATATTAATTACTGTGCCCGTTTTTAAAAAAAATTATCATCTGACTTCTTAGTGCGTAAAACAGTTTTGCTTTGTGTTAAATTTAAGTTCAATCATATATTTGTATTGGAACGAGATATAGTTGTACAATACACAGACTATAGTTGTGTAGTGTACAGAATGAAATTATTTGGTTGACATACGTATTTACTGTCTTTGAGCTCTGATTTTACTTTTACTTCCTGTTAATGAAAAAATCTAGGGACTACAGAATATAAATTTGTGATAAAGGATATCAGTTTTTGCATTCATCTTTAAGACCTGTACATTCCCCATTTAGAAAAAATTCTTTAAAAGCAGCTTCCTATAGGATGATAGGACTTGAGAAGAATGTAGTCTTAAACATCTGATGACTTCTCCAATAGCACATTACGTGACAGTACCTGCTGTGGAAAACTTAGAAAATGAATTGGTTTGTAGTTACTGTCTAGGGTGGTTTTAGCAAGGCAGTGGGGTGAGAAGGGACAGGCCTACACTGTACTTTCAGGCTGACAGTGCTGCATGGCTCAAAAAAAGGAAGTAGGAGAGAGCAAAAATTTAGGAAAAGAAATGGAGATGTCTGGGGAGTAATCAATGTCACCAGCAGCAATGGAAACCTTGGGAACCGGTGGTATCCCAGGACAGAGAATCAAAGTGTGAAGTTAGCATAACCTGCCAGATGTTTTGGGGTGGATGTGGTATTTGCTGTAACTTTATTGCCTAGCTGGAGGTGAGTGGCTGGCATAACTGAAACTAAGAGATGTTTAAATCTTTGGATTAGGTCAGAAAGAACTAGATTTGGGAATGTCTAAACTCTGGCAGGTTTTTATATTCCACACGGGTTTTGAAGCTTATTTCTGGAAATTGTGATGAGAACTCAGATTTTTTTCTTTAGTGGAAGGGAAAATCTGTACTCAGTTTTTTGTAAGATATTAAGTCAGATTATTTTTTAAGATTTGAAGCAAATTTTTCTGTGCATAATATCTCCTTTATTGACAGTTTTGTACAGTTTCCCAATTGTTGGTATTCCCAACTATTCTGGGCCACCCCCTTTTTCTCTGCAAGTCCAGAGGAAATGCAGATGATTTTTTGTGGGCTGAGTTTCTGGTGCTGTCCTTGGATGCAGTAGGGGTGTGAAATGGACCATGTTTACTTGGCAAAAACAGATGTGAGCACCAGAATGCTTGACTTTGGTGCCTGTTCACAGGAGCAGTTACTGAGAGGGATCTCTTGGCATCATATCTGTGGTGCATCTCTTTACAGGTAGCAAGAATTTCATGTGGACACTAAAAAGCTGCAGGGATGTCCTAGAATCCCAGTGTTGTTCTACAGGTACAGGGCACTTTTATCTCCACTTCCTTGCAGAGAAGCACACAATGCAACTGTGTGTTGCATAAATCTGTAATACAGCCCAGAAAGCAGCAATGATGATGCCCAAGTGACATTCTGGGCCTTTGTGACTTTTCAATGGAGGTGGTGTCAAAATAATTCCGTTTTTTCCCTTGACTAACACTGCACTGCAACAGTAACACAATACTTTTAAGGAAGAGTCCTTTTCAGAATACTTTTTACTTTAGAAATAATTTAGAGTAGATGTTCTGATTTTATGCTGAACGATTTGTGCAGTAGTTGACACAGTGTTTTCTTGCATCTCGAATCTTTAACTGTACTTTAGATGTGCTTTATAGTTTTTTGTCTCACTAGAAAGGAGATTTGCTCTTGAAATAGTTACAACATTTGCCTGTTAGTGTTGTAATTTTCCTTTGTTGTCATTGTTTGGTTTTTCAATATCATTGGCAAGCTCACATGTGAGGATACAGGTTACATACAAGGGAAAAACAAAGTGGTTATAGACAGAATTTTCTCAAGTACTTGGTTTTTAATCATGCCCATCTCCTGCATGCTGCTGCCAAGTGAAAGGCTGCTTAACAGGCATGGGGAGTGTTAATGAAGGTTTTCCAGTCCTTTCTTAAAAAACTTGAGTTTGATGTTCACTAAAAAACACAACATTTCAGATTTTGTGGGAAGAGGAAGAATTTGTTCTTAGAATATGAACTGTTTGTGAAAAAATTGTTTTGTAATGTTTGTGTCGGACATGTTGGCAGTTGTCGAGTTGCTGCTGAAAATGACGGGACAGAAATGTTTGGGCTGTATTGGCAGAAGGCCAAATGTAAGTGCACAGCACAGTGGTGCTGACTGTCTTCATCTGCTTCTCCCTGTGTGAGTGCTGTGAAGCAGAGCAACGTCTCAAGGCTTCCACTGCCACCTCTACTTCAGATGGCTGCAGTGATTTCTCCTGCTGCCTTCTCTTTTAATATATCAGTATAATTGATCCCAGCCATTCTTTTTAAATGTTTCAATGTGCTAGTTCTTCTGCACAATACACCACATTTATTCATGTTTCTTGGAGTGGCTGTCCAGTTTTTTGTAACTCATGACAGTAATTGATGGCTTTCTATTCTTTATTCCAGCTTTATTTTTATCTTTGAACTTTCAGGGATTTTTTTATCCCTACCTCTGTAGCATATCACCAATTTATTTTGTGAAATCTGTATATAATGACTGTAGAGTACTATAGTCATACTTTTTCTTTCATTTTTGGGGAGGAAATAATCTTGCTCTTTCATGTTGCAGTTCAGATTTTTCTTTATGCTGGGATTGAGTGCCTGTTAGGTTTTCCTTTTCTAGAATTTTGCTGATGTACTCAGTGGCAAATAAAATTCTGGTGGGACTAGGAATTAATGTTTTCTCATATAACTTGATTTATACAAGTATAATTATCTGCTAGGATGTATTTTCCTTGTTAAGAGACTAGATGTTATGTGCAAAGTCAAACCTTCTTGGAAGAAGAAAATAATTTTCACAGGTCTTTCCCAGAAGTGTAGTTTAGTTACTCCTTCTGATTTAAGGAACAGCTTCCCTTCTGGAAGACCTCTAAAATAGCTCATAACCACCACCTCATACTTTAGAGAAAAAAAATAACCCAGAACACCTTTCTGTCCAGGTTTTATACTCAACTTCTCTGCATCTCCTTTGGATTTTCTCATGTATAGAGATCTACACCTCACACACACATATGGTACTTGCATCCTTTGGTCAGAGTAAAGCAGTGCCTGCATTTACTGATTCATTTGTTCTGTTTTAAATGCTTGTGTTATGAAAATAGAGACTCAATGAGGGAGAGAGGAGTGAGACACATTGTGTCCTTCTCTCCTATTGTTCTTGTTCCCTTTGTCTCTCCATTTTTCCCTCCTGCTCCCTCTTCACCTTGCCCCCTTCCCTCTGCCATCAAGAGCTGATGCTGAAGTCTTTGATGTGTTTGTCTGTCCCAGGACTGTTGCTTGCATTTAATCAACAAGATACTGTTTCTGGTCTCTCCTTGCATGCTGCTTGGTGCTTTGCAGCCAGTCACAGCGGTCACCCCCTTCTTCCTCCTTTCTCCGGGACTTTTCATAAATGCTGTCTTCACTGCAGCCCTTCAGGGTGTGTCCCGTGGTGTTCTGCAGCTCAGGAGCTGAATGTTCTACTGAAAGCTCCAGAAGCAGGAATGGTTAGAATGTCTGAGTCATTGGGATTTATTGTGGTTCAAAGGCCCGGGGTGTCGGTGCTGCCGCTCGAGCGCCGGACCCAGCATCGGAACTGTTCCGGTGCTGGTGGAGGAGTGGGGGCGCTTTGGGCAGGGTGTTTGGTGAGGACATGCCTGAGGCCACGTTCCTTTCTCACTGGAAATAGGCTTTGTTTTAAGCTGCCTTAGTGTTAAGTGTGATTTGATCTTGTAACATGTGTGTCAGGGTTGGATAATATGAAAATAATTTTAAAACTACAGAATGCTTATTTTTTTTTCATCTCCTGGTTGTGTCTCAGGTACTCCAGATAAGGTTATTTGATAATGATGTTGGTTTTGATCAGTTTATGGCTGTTAGTGATTGTTTCACTAACTCTTCTCAGACACTCACAATGCTTTGCCATTAATGGTGCTATTGGAACCCTTTTGGTACATGCATTTTTTTGTTTTTTTCTTCTTTCTCATTTTAGCAGGTGTTAGTGAGCAGGTGGAAGTGTTCTCCTTGTGGGCATCTCCAGTCAGGGGTGCTGTATACTTTCTCTTTTCTTGCTAAAAAGTTCAGGCCCTCTGCTTTTCTGTTCAGTACATCTTTTGTTACACAGCTCTTTGAGAGACTCAGCTAAAGGTTATGCTTTTTATTTTTCAGGGCTCTGCTTATATTATAAACATACTGTGCATGGGGTTTTTTGGTGGCAGGAAGGGAATGATGGCAGCAACTTATTCTCGAATGCAGTTTTTAAGGGTGCATATAATCTGTTCAGAGAGGAAGGAAATTTGGATTAAAGAAGCAAAATGAATGATTTATTACTTGAATACCTACTAGCAAAATATATTTTCCTCTTTGATTTTTCTCAACATCAGCTTTTTCAGTAATGAAATATGTGCTTCTCTGCAAAGTATAAGTTCTATCTTTCCACTTTCTAATGTCTAACCAGCAGAGAGAGTGAAAAAGAAAACAGTTTTGTTCTTGTAGGACAGTTTTGCAGACATTATTTAGTAGTTTCATTTGAGTTTTTTTGCTGTTTTTCTCTAAGTTGATGAGTTGTGACTTTCCTTTGCTGTGAAGATTTTTATTTTCCCTAAGCAGACAGGCTTTCCAGCTTCTTTACTGTTTGCTGTAGCAAACTGCATGGTCTTTATTGTAGTTAGTGCACCTTTTCTTACTGGTTATGGATGCTTTTTGTGTTCATGTAATTGCTACCTCTGTGAAATTGTTCTTTGATGTATAAATGTCTGCACCCTTGTTTAACACCAATCCATATGACTTGTGTGCTTTTACAATTACTTTAAAGTCTTTGCTTTTACTTCGATGGTTGGCAATTGCAAATCTATTTTGGCTCATGAGTTTCCTCATTGGTCAGTCACTCAAATTTTTATTGATTTTGTGTATCACAGAATTGCATCTCCGAACATGAAGGGTTTATTTTTTCAGATCACTGTTCTTTCACTATTAAGACTTGTCAATCTTTTCTGTCCATGCCCTTCTTCCTTCCTCTGTTTCATATTTGTTTCTAGAAAGTGTTGTGGGATAACTTAGTTTCCCTGAGCTCTCAATAGTCTGCTGTTCTTCACAGTTTCCTTTTTTTTAATTCCCCTTTTCCTCCTCCTGCATATGGAATACATTGACTTTATTTAACACTACAGCACCAGCTTTTCTCCAGCTCATCTTCTACTTTATTAGAAGGCTGTCATGTAGAGTCAACTTGTAACTTCAGCCTTGCAGCAAAATTCCCTAGAACTTTAGGGTGAAGGATTTACATGTTGCAGCCCCCATCCCTGGTGCAATGTGTGTGTGGTTGTATTTTCCTGTGCTGTGTTCAGTGTTGGCTCTAGTGCAAGCTTGCAGCTGAGTTGTGTTTTGAGATTTGCCAGGAGTCTGGGGGCCTGGAGAGCTGGGAATGCTAGAGACCAGGGAAAGGCTAGGGCTGCTTCTAAAGGACAACAAATGGTGGTGAAAGCGAGTTCAAAGTGCTGGAAGAAATCACAGGGTGTTTCTGAGTGACTTGAGGCTGTGTGAGAGAGAACTGAGGGCAAATCTGGTGCTGTTATGGAATCAGAGATTTGGTTGCATCCTGCCCCTATGTGCGTTTACAGAGATGCAAGAGAAGCTCTTACAGTACTCAGCTTTGGCAATTTCAGTCTTCTGCTGCTCCCTGGGAAGTGCTCCCATACGCTCCCAGAATCATCTTGACTTCAGAATTCTGCTTTTAATGACATCATTCACTGGCTGATGAGGGGTGCAGTTTAGAAACTGAGTGCTTCATGTGGGTGAAGGGTTGGTTTATAAATAGAGAACCGTGTGGCATCCCCTAAGCAGTAAGGGGCATGTGTTTGCATGCTGTTATTTGAGGGAAGGTAAACTTTCCTGCATTCTTTGTCTGTTTCTATTTCAGCAAAGGAAGTAGTTTGAAGAGTGAATTGGTCCCATGCTGTGTTGAATTGAGCAAACATTAATGGGAAAGTGATAATGACAAAAATTGTCATAACTTAACCAACTATCATATAAGATGAACTAAAATTTGATTGCTGTTACACATTAAGTATTTTATTTTCATTGGAATATATTTTTCTTTGTAATAATTTATTCTGTCTGCTTGCTTGTGTGAACATTTGCTTGAGTTCTTTCTCCCCCCAAAAAATAAATAACTTTTGTCTTTCTTTTAGCAAACTGAAAAAGCTAAGTGAAGATAGTTTAACTAAGCAGCCTGAAGAAGTCTTTGATGTTCTGGAGAAGCTTGGTGAAGGGTAAGTACAGCGATTTACAGGGGCATAGGATCAGAGGGAAACCATCCATAAAGCATATGTTGGAATATTGAGTTACAGAGAGAGTGACTGTAAATGCCTCTGTAGACAAGTTTTACGGCTAAAGCAAATGCATGCATTGGTAGTTTTCTACACTTTCCCTTATATATTGATGCATTTTTGATGTCTGTTGTTTGTTAACACAGCAAATGTACTTGCACCTGTAATGGAATTAGAAACTCTTAAATCTTGACAAAAATTTCTGCTGTCTTGACAAAGCATTCTTCTGTCTTTCCTGGGGTCTTGGTAGAACTCATCTTTTTGCAGCCTGAAAAATGCTCACACTTCTGCATGAACATATGGCTTCTGTGACTTTTTGTGCATAATGGAAATCAGGAGCAGTTTGCCTTGTTTTTTAAAAAAAATTGTCTCATTTTTAGGTCTTATGGTAGCGTGTTTAAAGCAATACACAAAGAATCTGGACAAGTTGTAGCAATTAAACAGGTCCCTGTGGAGTCAGATCTTCAAGAAATAATTAAAGAAATCTCTATAATGCAACAATGTGACAGGTAGGTATGACACTTCTGTTCCCTTTCTATGAGTCTATGTGAAAATGTATTTCTACTTGTGGAAATAGCTGAAATATAAGCAGCTGCCAACGTTTTCATGGAAAGTAAATTGTCCAACATAGACTTTTTTAATTAAAGGAACCACTTTGTGAATCTCCTTCTCTCCTTACCTTGGTTTGAAGGAAGTACAAATAGTGTACATAACAAAAACTGTTGAAAGAAGAAATACTGGTCTCTGCTTACAATTCTCTGTGCTTGCTTCACTTTACTTGCACTCTTAAGGCCAAAGGTTTCTGTTTTCTTTAAATGTCTTGGGCTTTATGAAATTCTGAGTCTGCCTGTTTCAGAAGATTGATAAAGATGTTTCTAGCAGAAGATGAATGGCTAGCAGTTAACTTCCAGAAGAATATTTTCTTGGCTGCCATTTTCCTGTGAGAACATTCCTTTCAAAATGTGAGCAGTCTTGTGAAAGTGCTGGTGGATTGTTACCTTACACTTGTTCACAGATTTTATGATTGCAGGTTTTGTAAAAGAGGAAGCCTTAATGCAAGGATGCAGAAATTACTTTGCTATTTCTGTTGTCTATGGAGTTTTGGTCTGCAACTTCAAAATGAAGCTTATTAGTGTTAGTCTTTAGGCAAATATGAACAGTGTTTTGAGATTGCACAGCACTTGATGTTTTGAAAAGATCATCTTGTCCTGATTGATAATAATACCCAATTGTTGCTGGGAATCCTGGCATAGTGTACATCTGGTAAGAGATGGTCACAAAAATCAGTGGGTTTTCTTTAGAATTCCTCACTTCATGAATTTATAAGGAGCAAGGTCAATGTGTCATATTTGTAAATGGTGAAAATTTGGACTAGTTAGGAGGAGACTGACCCACCTCTCCTTCTGAAAAGGTGAATTCATTTAGTGCTAACAGTTGCTCTTAAATGAAATAGTTTTTTGATAGTGTTGACCTGTCTTTTTATAAAGATACCATGTTACAGGAGACAACCATAGCTCCTCTCTTCTTGTACCAGTTGTCTCTATGAAAAATGTTGCTGCCAGAAATGCTGATCCTAAAATACAGTTCCTTGCTCCAAAACAAAATGGTGTTTGATTCTACCCCATAATGTAGGTGTTCTGATGAGAAACCACTGTCTGATATCTCAGTATCTCACTTCCTTTGTGGGTGATAGATGACAATGGAACTGTAGCCTTCTTTGTTTCAGTTCCTGCCAAAAACCCCACCCCAAACCTTCAGTCTTGTATTTCCCTAAATACACCATCTAATAACTTCTGAAGGATGATTCTTTTTATGTTTACCACATCTGTTTCTGCCTTTCTTGTGCAAGTGATTCCAAGGAAGCATTATGTCAAGTGGCAAACTGATGAGCAGCAAAGCAATATTTTCTGTTTGTGACAATGCTATCACTTCTCATGAGGTGCTGAGCATGAAAAGCATTTGCAAATCCAGCAGGCTTCAAACCAGCACTCAATTCTCTTTAATAAGAAAGTCCAGTTCTGTCCTTGAAATAAATTCATTCTTGCAAAACTGGGAAAACATGGTTGAGTTTCCATGTGATTTTGCTCTGGAAAGAAGAAAACAAGGCAGTCTTTCTAAAAAGAGAAGCATTCAAGAGAGGCCTTAGAGGAGGGAAAAACAAAGCTTTTCATCAGATGGCTGATGTTTGGGAAAACTCGGTCTGTATTTGAAGATTGTGGTAAACTTATATACATAGTAGTGCCTTTATCATTTTATTAAGTAATCATAATTTACTCTAAAAAGGTATTGGTTAAGCTAATTACAGATTTAAAATGTATTTGATTGCACTTTAGCTATGTCAAACAGTAGTTTTTAACAACAGATGTGCTGATTTTTTTTCATTCTACTAAGAATTCTTCTATCTATCTAATTTTTTTCCATTTAGTCCTTATGTTGTCAAGTACTATGGCAGCTACTTTAAGAACACAGATCTATGGATTGTTATGGAATACTGTGGAGCTGGCTCTGTTTCAGACATAATTAGACTGCGTAATAAAACGGTGAGTTGTTTTTTTACAAAATATATTTAGCAGTTCATGAACTCAATTGTGAGTTAAGTTTGGAAGCCAGAATAAAAGCTGGAGTTGCAAGACAAGATCTTGGCTGATGCCAAGGGGCCTATCTGTGCCTTGCTTCCCAGGAAACAAGCTCATGCAGTTTGACTGTCATTGTGCATGCCTCTCTGGGCTGGTCACCAGCAGAAGCAAATGCATTTTGAAATAAAAAGATCTTGAGAATTTCCTAAAAATTACTGCTTTGTAGAAGGCAAAACTGTGGCTTCTTTCCCCTACCCCTTCCACCTTACAGTCTGCTAGCAGCCACTTAGTAGCTGCATAGTTTGGAAACAGGTGTAAAACTGTCTTGCTCTCACTCAGTAGTTAGGCAGCATGAGAAATAACTGGCATTACTCAAGGAATGAGAGGGGAAGAGATGCCAACTAAGGAATGTGAGAGGGAACCAAAATGAGGGTTGTATGGAAGTGTCTTCATGCACTTAGAACAGCAGTAATATAGAGAAAGCCTGTAGGAAGCAGGTATTGTTAGCTCTCATGAAGAAACAGCTTCTCTGAAAATTGTTTTGTTGTAGGTGTCAAGGAGCCTTGAATTCCTTTGAGTCCATTGTTTTCAGTAATAAGCTGTAACATGAGGTATTCTTTTTAGCAGCAGGTACTCTGAGGTGACACTGCCTGCTGGGCTTCACATTTTGTAAACACTCCTTGAGATGTTCCTTGCACCTTACTGGGGGAAAGTAAAGGACAGAAAAGCCATGTTCAGAAAACAAGACATAAAAGAGAATGGAATCAGGTTTATTAGGAAGTGGAGGTGATGTCGAGACTAAAGGGAGCCCCTTTGGAAAAGGTGCCTTGTATCAAGGCTGCTGTGGTGTTGAAATGATGGGGAAAACACAAAACCAATGTGAGACTGCTGGAGTTCTGCAATCTTCAAAACTGGTGTTCTTGCTGTTGGATATTATCCAAGGATCAGTAGCTCTAGTAAGAAATGGCACAAGCTGTTCCAGAATTCAAAAAAACCAAAACAAACCACAATCCATTTAAAACAGAATTTAAGAAAATAAAAAAGGAGCAAACTTGTTTGTGCATTGATAGAAAATGCTTGCATTTTTATTTTAAAAAAGGTGTCTATATGAATGTGTGTGTGTACTTAGATTGGGCTATCTAGTTTTTCTTAGATCTGTTGTAGGATACTGACATAGTAGATGAATTAAAGGTTGGAGGGGAAGGGATATTGGAGTCTTGGAGCAAATACATACTGATGATCAGACAAACTCTGTCTTCTGCTGCTGCTAACGTCCATATGATTAAATAGCATGAATTCTGTTTTAAGACACAGAATAATCAGTAAATGCATGGATACCAATGATAAAGCTTTTGTAAAGGCAAGTCATGGAGTGCATGGCTAGTAGGGTTCTGGGAAGGAGTTGGTAAGGACACAATTAATGCTGGCTGATGTAAAGTTGGTTGCATGTGCTGGAAAGTTTATGGACAGACTTCCACACCAGAGACTTTTCAAGCAAATACAGCTGTAATCTGGAGTAAATGAGAAGTTCTGTCACAGGTGGAGAATTGTTTAAAATATAACAAAGAGTGTGTTTTGGCCTGCTATATGGGTCTGTGGGTAGAAAGAGGGTAGAAATACTGGTGAGAGAGGTTGTATTCCTAGCAGTGGAAACTGGCAAAGACTTGCAAGGCTTTGTGGTACTGAGAAAATAAGCACAACTAAATGTGAAGAAATACATTTGGCTTGGTGAGGAAGGCAAAGCCTTTATATTGAGGTTCATGAGTGCTTGAGCTTAACTTTTAGAAATAGTTGAATAAGTAAAGTGGTTGTCAGAGGTTACAGTGGTACCAAGGACACAGCAGAACTATAGAAGTTAAAGAAGGTAACAAGGGTGATTAAAAGTTAAGATTATTTCTCTAGAAGCAGATAGCCAGATGCATTTGGATATTTCTGTGATGAGAAGAGGTACCTGGAGGGAGAGATAAGGTGAAAAAGTTTTATAAACCATGCATAGTGCCAAGAAAGTAAAATATGACTATCTTACTGTTTATTAGAAAACAACAGATCGCTTGTCACAGTAGATGCAAAGCAAAAATTTTTCCTTTGACATGATGATGAGGGTTACTGTATAGTTACAGAAGTCCCTGTAGGTGCTGAGAGTTGATTTTCACTGCACTCAAATGGGTAATGACTGGAGCAGGAAATCCATGTGCTTCAGATCTCTGGAAAGTCGAAGCACACAAGTGTCACAGTTTACTTGGCATATACTCACATTCAGGCAGGTAACCAGGCTGGACAGAATTTTCATCCCGGTGTAGAATATGGAATGTTCTAGTGCCTATCAAAAAAAAAAAAAAAAGGCAAAGCAAACTCCTCAATTCCTCAATTTCTCCCTTGCTATGCTTCTGTCTTACAAATTTTGGAAGGTTTAGGCAGAGACTTTGGACATGTTTGAATGCTCTTGCTCTTTGTGGAACAGTGGCCTGATCACTGCCTGTGTCATGGGAAGCTTGGGACTGTTACTGGAATGAGGCTGCTTCAAGTACTTGAGCATTCTGTTGATGACTTTACATTTTATTTATTTATTTATTCATTCCATCATTAAATGGAAATAAGAAATGGTTTTGTAATAAGAACATAAATATATCACTTGCAAAGAAGGAGAGAGTTGTTTCTTATTTTATCAGAATATTTACTAAATACAGTCAGACACATAGTTATGTATTCTGTAACTTTCTTAAATTGTCAAATGAAGACTGTGGCTGGGCCAAGGAAAAGTTTATTTCCTGCTTCTTGTATTTAAGGAAAAGAAATAGAGAAAGTTGAAGTAAGAACCCTTTAGTGCAGTGGCCATTAGGATTATCATTTGGACTTGATCTTAAAGATCTCTTCCAACCTAAATTATTCTAGGATGATTATTAAGTCAGGTCATAGGAGAAGCTGGATTTCTCCTCCTGTTTGGAGAGGAAACGTTAATATGTGTTTGCCTTTGTTGCTTGTCTCTAAAACTAAGAATTTATTGATCATCTTCTGTTTTAGTGGTTTCTGTTATTCAAAAATTGTGTTTGTCTTGAAAGTGAACAACACTGGGCTTTTTTTCCACTGTTCTAGTGGACCAAAACTGGGGGAAACAGAATCCAAAGTTAGGGTAATTTTTAGTGACTGTTTGGAGCCCATTCATATGGAGAAGTTTTCAGCTTAGCAAGAGCAGGGTCTCGTCCAAGAGGCCTGAGCCATTAATTTGAAGTTAAATGGACCCCTGCAATTCTGCTGGAGTCTTCTAATGTGCCAGGCAGATCAGCAGCACTTCAGCAAATCCATGGTGCTTGTTAGCTCATCCAGGGTGTGGTGTTCCTCAGTCCTGGGCAGCAAACTCAGATCTAGTTTTGTCTGCTTTTCTCAGAAACTGGTTTGGGAGGTACATGTATCTTATGCATTCAGACTGTGGGTTGCTGCCAGGAAGGGCAGTTCTGCTGCTGTCCTCCAACCTGACTGGTGTGTTCCTCCTGCCTTTTCCATGCCTCAGATGCAGTGATTGTCTGTGGCTGCAGGGTGATCTTCGATAAGCTAGATGATATGATGGGGACACTTCCTCTCTTCTGTCCTCCCCACCCCTCATGAGTTAACTCTGGACTTACTGTGGCAGCACTGTGGCTTCATCTGATGCAAGGCATGAGCATTGTGGAAGGGGAAGGAAGAGCATGTCAGAGACTGACTTTCAGTGGCAATAGATGAGATAATTACAGTGTGAAGCAACACTCACTGGCTGCCCTTACCATAGGGGAGAATATTTACTCACCACCAACCTTGTTTCTCTAATGATTATTGAGGGTGCATTTGCTCATCCACTGATCATGATTAACTAAGTCACTCTAATCCTGACTCTTTGGGGACCAAATTCAGCTGACTGAAACATACCAGGTAGTGGCTATGTTGTAGGTTTATCAGACAAACCTGTCTTACTTGGGTCAGTATTGTAAGTAACAAGTGTAGGAGTGGAGTGCTGTGGAGGTACTGTGCAGTTGGGCCCAGAGATTGTGCATTTTGTATCTAAAATTATTTCCTTTACATGCTACTTTATCAGTTATATATGTAATGCCTCATGTACTCCTACTGATTAGCTTCTGCCATGTTTTATTAGCTAATTACTTTTTTCTGTGTGTTTAAGCTCCACTAATTCAAGTGAATAGTGTATCCAAATCTCTGGATGCTGTATTTAAATGTCCTGCTGGATTTCCTTTCTCTGTATGTTACCATGGGCATCCAGGGTAAATCTTTTGTTATCTGGGCTAAAGGCATTTTGCTCATAAGGATGTTGTTTTGCAGTTTTAAGCAGTCATGTTTCTCAGTAATTTCAGTTAAAATATTTCCAATTTGTAGGCCTTTGCTTCACTAAAGTTCAGGTACAAAAGTTCATTATTTGTAAAGCAGCTGTCTAGGGCCTAGTACCTCTTGTACATTTTAAGTAGCATCTATCACAGTATCACTCCTCAGCTGGACCCACGTGGGTTAATTAATACCCAGACAGTCCATACAAGGATTGAAATTCCTTCTGCACTGGCTCACTTGCTTATCTCCTCTTGGTGTCCATGGGCAAGTCCATCCTGGCTGTGCTGCTGACCATGTTCTGTCAGTGGGCCTTCAGGTGATGAATTGACTCAATGGGCTAATCAGCTGTGTTACTCTTCAGAGACTGACTTTAGGCCAACATTCTTAAACTACTTTTCTTTACAGGTTGAGGAAAAGGAGAAAAGAACTTGATCACAAATGTCCTGATTGCCTTGTTCTGTGTTTAGCCTTACAGAGCAGGTTAGCTTATCCTAGCTTCTGCAATGCAACACTGAGATTATTCAGTGCTTGTCTGATAAAATCCTTACTATGGCTCTGAATGATTGGCTGCTATATAAATGCTGGGAATTATTTTTCCTTAGTTCTTTAGAGTAGCATTGTAAGTTCCTTAAAAATGGATTGTACTGTCTGAC